AAACAAACAGGCCCAACTCTATTATCTATGATGCAGGTTGTTAATAGCAGAATTATGAACAGAGAGAGAACATTACGTTAGAAGTTGAATCAACAAATAATGTGAATTTGGAGACAAAGAGTAAAATGTAGCAGCGTAAGAGTAGATGGCCTCTATGTCCTCCAGCAGTCTAAGCCTATAGCAGCACACCTATAGAGATTGTTCAGGATAACCATAAGCTGTTTAAAAAGATTTAAACCTAGTATAATCTGAATTGACCTGCCTGAGCCTTCGAATTTCTGCACTGGCATTACCCCAGTCTGGTTCACAGGCTTTAACATATAGGTGTTCAGAAATGAATCCAAATGGTTATGCAGATTTAGACACTAAATCAGACTTTGAGGTCTAAAAATCACCTTCAAGAAACATCAGGCACTAATGTTGCTGCTTTGCCACTGCTGGCCTCCTGATACGGATCTTTTATGTAAATCCCCATGTTGTTTTTTTTTCCTTTCTTTCTACATGCTCTGGTTATTTTGATGTTTTCAGTATGTTTTTACGGACTTGTTGTGGCATCTGGTATTCGCCCTTTTTCATGATCCAAATCCATGCTGTATTTCTGATAACTGCACCCACTTGTGTCTATGTTGTTTCCTCTAATATTTGTTTATTGTTTGCCCCTCGATTGTCAAGTTCCCGTTTTTCTTTGTCACTGGTTCCCTCTGTGTACTGTCAGTGACTGATGATAGTGGTGGGTTGTATAGATTTATCTAGTGGAGTCAGTTCAGCTCTGCTAGCAATAACACATTTTAGCCATTGTAAATGGCAAAAATCAATGCAGATGAAGTTGTTTTATTACCTAAATGTGATTATAATACAGCACTTAATAAAAACCTTATTAGAGCCTCATACCCTGTTTGTTTAGGTTTGCCCTGTAATCTGTAATGTACTGGGAGTTTAATCCAGCCCATTGGTATTTGCAACAGATTGGGAATGTGAAAGGCTGTGACACTAGTTAACTAGTTTATCCGGAGGGATTTTTGGTTATTTACAGAACCTGAGACAATGGAGTAAAAGCTTTCCAATGTAAAACTTATGGAAATTTAAAAAAAAGAATTGAAGATGTGATCATGGAATGTTGAGCTTGTACAACAATGAAGGATTTATGTTATGTATACACTTTTTTGTGTTCTTATTTTGTATTAATCAGTTAAAAACAAATATGTTTGTTTTCAGTATTGCAGATTTAAAGAAATTTGTGAAGAAAATGTTGTTGCATGCACTTTAGCTATACAGGGTGCAGTTCTTTTCTGTGCCCATGAAGACGAATTTGTACTTAACTTGAGAAAGATTAATAAATGATGGCTGAGGGAGCAACACAGTAGTTTTACCGTGCTGCAACGGAAGTGATGCCACATGCATAAAACAGGGTCTGTTTCAGTCATTCCACTAAAGAGATTAAAAGGAAAACGAAGAAGAAACAATGAAGTTAAAGATTATGCTCTACAATCACCCTGGAAGTCAGCTGGGTGCTGACAAAAGCTGTTCAGTAAAATACTTTTGTATATCTTGCTTCATTACCGTCCTATTTACTTCATTACCGTCCCATTACTGTTCTATGTGAAGCTAATTTTACACAAACAGTAACACACACTCACATAGACAAATTTGTCCATCCTTGTGGAAACTTCCCAATGACTTCCATTCATTTATCCCTTATTTCTACACTCTAACTGTGACCCTTATTCTAGACCTAACTATTACGGGTTCAAAACTAACCCTAACAACAACCTAAACTCAGTTTACACCTACATCCTAAACTAACCCTTAAAAAGCAACTGTTTCCATGGGGACCAGGCATTGTTCCCTAAAAGGAGCAGCCTGTCTCCACAAAGTGCTATTTTCTATTAAATGGTTCCCACAATTTATGAGAAACACACACACTTTGTTTTAATGACATATGGGGACATTTCATTGACTTGCATTAATTTTATACGACCTAACCCAGACCTTTACCCTAAGCCTAACTATAATCAACATATAACAAACCCTAACCTAAAGTGAATTCACACCTTAGTCCTAAAACTAACCCCAATTCAAAGAACAAAACCTTATGAGTTGCAAGAGAATTCAACATTTATTGTCATGACACTGCACTTACACTATCTCTGTGTGCACTGCTTTCTATGTCTTCATAAGTGCATCATAAGTGCAAATTTGTCTAAAATAAACAGGTTGATGAAATTTCTTAATATTTTTTTTAGCAATCTGCCATTCAATAAGAGGAACAATGTTTGGAAAGACAACACTTTTAATAGATGTTATTAAATGATGCATGGATTGAAAAGACTTTCTACATATTCATGTGACCGTAGACGTTTTGGATGAATATAAAAAAACAGAGCTAAATGATAACTGCTGCACTTTTTGTATAACTCGTGCCATTTCAAATATCAATGCAATGCTCATAAGCTGTATGTAACGCAATTTCGTTCTGTATGCACTCTGTGCATACAAAATGACAAATAAAGAAGTCTAAGTCTAACAGTAGGACTCTGTACAGTCCTCCATTACACAAGGAATCAAAGGCCAGTGTTTGCATGCTAGCATTAGCATCTCCAAAGGGGAAGCTGATGTTGCAAAAAAAGGCCTGTGAAATAATCCTAAATGTGGTTAAAAGAAATTCAATTGAGTTTATTCATATAGAGCCAATTCACAACACGTCATCTCAAGGCACTTTACAATTCACCAGATCATACTGTACAGTTAAATTGATTCCAATTTCTTTTCTTTTTTTTAGGAAAACCAATTGATTGCATTGTCTCATTGACTTGAAGGCAATCCCTCACACTAAGCATGCTTGTAGCGACAGTGGAGAGGAAAAACTCATTTTTAACAGGAGGTAACCTGTTAAACCAGGCTCAGTATGACCTGCCATCTCCCAAGGCCGACTGGGGTTCAAGGAGAAAGAGGCAGAGAGCAGAGAGACAAAAGGCAACTGTAAAAGGTGGCCCCATCCAGAAAATACACAGCCAGGCAGAAGAGCTCCGAGCCAGCTCCCGTTTCAGAGGATGAAGAGAGCACATCCAGCCAGTCACAGTCAGACAAACAGGACTACTCTGAAAAACAGTCAGATGAGCATCTATAAACAAAGGTGTTGATGGCAGAAGCTCAGGTGATATTTCTCTCCAGCATGAAGCTACTATGACTATGAGTGTTAGAGATTGAACTCATACATTCTGCAGACTGAGAGAAAAGAGATAGAATGAAGCAGAAGGATTAAAATGGGGTCCCTATGTCCTCCAGCAGTCTAAGCCTATAGCAGCATAACTATAGAGATAGCTCAGGATAATCTGAACCTCACTAACTATGAGATTTATCAAAACGGAAAGGTGAAGGGAAAGCCTTCCATTAAAAGTAGACAGGGTGTCTGCCTCACGGACTAAAACTGGTAGTTGGTTCCACAGGAGAGGAGCCTGATAACTAAAAGATCCCATTCTACTTTTAGAAATTNTCACACCCAGTTTCTCCAGAACTACCCCTCACTGTCAGCACTCAGTGAGTCTACACACTCATCCAGCATCAATATTCGTCCTCTGAGATACTTTGAGGATGTGACTGCAGCTGTTTCAGGGATTTGGGACATACTGCAGGACATTTTGAGAGACACATTGACAAACATCTCACTATCACTTACTAAGGTAAAGGTTTTAGACTCTGAAACAGAACCAAAGACCCGAGCTGAGTTCCTCAGATATTCAAATGAAATTACGCTGAATCCAAACACAGCAAACAGAAAATTGTTCTTATCGGAGGGAAACAGAAAAGCGGCCCTAATAGAACAGCAAGAGTCTTATCCTGATCATCCAGACAGATTCACTCAAAGATGCCAGGTTCTGAGTAGAGAATGTCTGACTGGACGCTGTTACTGGGAGGTGGAATGGAGCGGGGGAAGAGTCGATGTTGCAGTTTCATACAAAAACATCCGTAGGGAAGGATGGTCAGATGAATGTTTATTTGGATTAAATGAAAATTCTTGGTCATTATATTGCTATGCAACAAGTTACATATTTTATCACAGAATTCAAACTTCAATATCCGGTCCAGTTTCCTCCAGACTGGGAGTGTACCTGGATCACAGAGCAGGTATTCTGTCTTTCTACAGCGTCTCCTCCTGCCTTTCTACAATGACTCTTCTCCATAGAGTCCAGACCACATTTAGTCAGCCTGTTTATGCTGGGATTGGGCTTTATGACAATGGATCATTTGCCAAGTGTGTTCAACTAAAATAGTCACAATTAAAATGAGGTTCAGTTGGTCAAAATTTGTATTTTACTTCCAGTTTCTTTAGTATCGATCATTCTTGCTAAGAGATCACTGTTGTTTCTGTTACAAATAATTTATTTTATGTTAGAAAATGTAATGGTAAATTATCTCCAAAGGTAGCTCCGTCTAAGAAAGGAGCAGTTAGGCAGATAAGATCTGAACTGCTTTACATGTCAAAAAAGATGAAAGAGAGAGCATACACTAAGCCACCTTAAAAGATTTGCCCATAGCTATGTCTAAGAGAGAAGAACGACCAAACAAACAGGCCCAACTCTATTATCTATGATGCAGGTTGTTAATAGCAGAATTATGAACAGAGAGAGAACATTACGTTAGAAGTTGAATCAACAAATAATGTGAATTTGGAGACAAAGAGTAAAATGTAGCAGCGTAAGAGTAGATGGCCTCTATGTCCTCCAGCAGTCTAAGCCTATAGCAGCACACCTATAGAGATTGTTCAGGATAACCATAAGCTGTTTAAAAAGATTTAAACCTAGTATAATCTGAATTGACCTGCCTGAGCCTTCGAATTTCTGCACTGGCATTACCCCAGTCTGGTTCACAGGCTTTAACATATAGGTGTTCAGAAATGAATCCAAATGGTTATGCAGATTTAGACACTAAATCAGACTTTGAGGTCTAAAAATCACCTTCAAGAAACATCAGGCACTAATGTTGCTGCTTTGCCACTGCTGGCCTCCTGATACGGATCTTTTATGTAAATCCCCATGTTGTTTTTTTTTCCTTTCTTTCTACATGCTCTGGTTATTTTGATGTTTTCAGTATGTTTTTACGGACTTGTTGTGGCATCTGGTATTCGCCCTTTTTCATGATCCAAATCCATGCTGTATTTCTGATAACTGCACCCACTTGTGTCTATGTTGTTTCCTCTAATATTTGTTTATTGTTTGCCCCTCGATTGTCAAGTTCCCGTTTTTCTTTGTCACTGGTTCCCTCTGTGTACTGTCAGTGACTGATGATAGTGGTGGGTTGTATAGATTTATCTAGTGGAGTCAGTTCAGCTCTGCTAGCAATAACACATTTTAGCCATTGTAAATGGCAAAAATCAATGCAGATGAAGTTGTTTTATTACCTAAATGTGATTATAATACAGCACTTAATAAAAACCTTATTAGAGCCTCATACCCTGTTTGTTTAGGTTTGCCCTGTAATCTGTAATGTACTGGGAGTTTAATCCAGCCCATTGGTATTTGCAACAGATTGGGAATGTGAAAGATTGTGACACTAGTTAACTAGTTTATCCGGAGGGATTTTTGGTTATTTACAGAACCTGAGACAATGGAGTCTAAGCTTTCCAATGTAAAACTTGTGGAAATAAAAAAATATATATATATTGAAGAAGATGTGATCATGGAATGTTCAGCTTGTACAACAATGAAGGATTTTTGTATACACTTTTTTTGTGTTCTTATTTTGTATTAATCAGTTAAAAACAAATATGTTTGTTTTCAGTATTGCAGATTTAAAGAAATTTGTGAAGAAAATGTTGTTGCATGCACTTTAGCTATATAGGGTGCAGTTCTGTGATGTGCCCATGAAGAAGAATTTGCGCATGAATTTGCCTTGAAAAAGAATAATAAATTATAGCTGAGGGAGCAACACAGTAGTTTCACTGTGCTGCCATGAAAGTGATGCCACATGCGTAAAACAAGCTCTGTTTCAGTCATTCCACTAAAGAGATTAAAATGAAAATGAAGAAGAAACAGAAGTTAGAGATTATTCTCTACAATCACCCTGGAAGCCAGCTGGGTCCTAACAAAAGCTGTTCAATTAAATACTTTTGTATACCTTGCTTCATTACCGTCCCAATCAATGCTTGACAATAAACTGCTCTATTATTTTATGTGAAGGTAATTTTACACAAACAGTAACACACACTTACACAAACAAATTTGTCTGTTCTTGTGGGAACTCCTTATTGACTTCCATTCACTAACCGTGACCCTTATCCTAAATCTAACTATTACAGGTTCATACCTAACCCTAACTGCAAACTCAATTCACACCTACGTCCTAAACCTAACCCCTAAACGGGGGGTCGGCAACCAGCGTCCCCTTGCGGCTCCCTGGAGCTTTTTCATATATTTATGAAAATCAAATTTTTTTTTCATTATGTGCAGGAGGTCAAACAAAAATGAATTATGTTTTCCAATGCTGTAAACATTTGTATAATAAATAAATTTAAACAATAATTTGCATCATTGCCATAGAGATCAGTGGTCATAACTTGGAACCAGCGTGGCGCAGTGCCAGGCAAACAAAGCAGCGAATCATTTGCTTTCATTATCAATGCAGAAGAATTCCCTGCATGTTTGCATTGTAATGAGAGGTTGTCAAAAAATAAAAAGAACATTTGGAAAGGCATTTCCAGTGAAGGCTAAATATGCAGTCGACCACCAAGCTGGGACTGAGAGAAAAAGTGCGATTGCAGAACTTCTGGATAAATTAGAGCAAAGAAAAGATAGATTTAAGAAGTGGATTGCCTCCCCAAACTCCACTACTGCTGCTAGTTTTGTTGCAAGGATGGAAAACCTTCAATAGATCAAACAGGTAGCGATTACTCTGTCATAGAAGCAGAACAGAAAGACCCAGTATTCAAGAAAAGGCAGACAGTGGGATAACTCAAAGCATTTATTAAAATACAGATCGGGCTGGATCAGCAGTATCAGTACAAGGGGGAGGCACCGCCCATCACTGGAAACTCGGGTTCAAAAAAATGACAGGTTAGTGACCATGATAATCTAATGGAGAAAAAGTATCCATATGACTCACCTGGTTTAACAGTTTAGACCGTCGCCATAGAACGAGGTATGATCCAGCAGGTGGGCTGCCAAGGAGATGCGGTGGGTGCCGCTCAGAGTGTCTCAGATGCTGAAGCCCCAAAGAACAAGTAGGAGTCAGAGCCAGGTCAGGAAAAAAAAAAAAATCAGAATAGGCTCACTCTCCGGAGCCCAGACAGGGATAGCGATGAGAAAAGGAACAGGCTGGTTCAGGGTTCAGGGAACACTCAGTGGATAAGAGGCAGATCAGGTTCAGGATATCAGAAAAACTATAGAATTTTAAAAACCTTCTCTCCATTGGCTCTCGAGAACGAGCACTAGAACAAGAGCATCAGCATCTGTCCATGATGGCTGGGAGTAAGCCATATAAATAGAAGCAGCAGCAGGTGGATTATATGAGCAGTAATGAACAACCAGGCAGAGTTAGACAGGTGAATCGAGTGAGCAATTAAGCCAGCCAACAGTGCCAACATCATGACAGCGAGAGGGGATGTAATTCTAGGCAGGCATGCACTTCTCATTCAACTTGCTTGAGATCAAAAGTGGACAAAAGAGTGTTATTATTTCTTTTCCATTTTTGTTTTTGTGCGGATACCAGATCACAGGACAGGTCAAAACTTAAATGATAAGAAATGAATCAATGATTTCAGAATAGGTCATATTGGTTTGAATAATTCTCTTAAACTGACAATGTAACAGGTGTTTGTGAACGTTGTAACCTCCCTGAAAATGTAAAATGTGCCTATGGAATGTCCTGCCTATGAAAATAAAAGGAAAAAGCTTAGAGAAGAAATGCATAAAATGGAAATTTGATATACATTTGAAGATATTTCTTGAGTGAGTAAAACAAAAACTCAGGTTTTTTTGGTTTTTGGGAAGTACCATCTTATTAAAGAGAATTGTAGTTGTTTTTTTTTATTGTTGTAAGTCTCCTGTCCGCACTCCAGTCCAGTTGGTGGCCCGTAATGCACCTCATAAATTGGTCTGCCAACCTCCATAAAACACAGAAGAAGAAGGAGAAGCAGACCAATATGCTGCTGTTTTTAGAACATATAGTCAAATTGTCAAATAAAACACAACTAAAAGATTTGGTGGTATGAATATTTATTGTTTTCTCCACCACATACTGTACACACATACATGCACATATAAGAACATTACTGTTTTCATAACTGCATAAATATATTGTAACTTTCTACCCCAACCTTTCTCTTCTATAAGTGCTTTAATGGGAAGCAAAAAGATGAATCCTTGATAAAATGGGCAGAGCAAAAACACATCCAGGCACCTTCCCTTCATGCATTCTTACATTGGGAACAGCTTATCTTTCACAAGCACAGACAAGTAAACAAGCTGAAAAGAAATGGGAATGTGATGCGATGGAAATTTAGATAATGGAATCACATTTCTCAATTAAGTCGCTGTTTATGGTTCCTGTTTTAGTTGTCTGGGCCAAATATATTCATACAGAACTACACATACTTGTGTATTTTTAAATTTCTCTTTAAAGTTTTTTTGAATGGGAATGAATTGAATAAAACATTAAGTGTTATTAGATGATGTTTACACACTTTTTAGTATCAAAAGAGAGTTAGGACACCAATCCTACCGGTTATTTGAAGGTGAGAAACAGGAAAACAACCTAAATGTCCGTATTCCCTAAGAGTTTCTGGTGAAAAAGAACTATACATTTTGGTCCAAAGGGTCATTTTTTTGTGAGTAAGAATGTGGGATGAGAAAGTGTCCTTATTGTTTCTCTTATGTGTTGATTTATCATATTGTGACTGGTATTAATTTTAAATAAAGTGATGAAATTTTGTAATTTTTGTCACACAAAAATTTAAGTGTTTGTATAAGCTTCTGTTTCTTTCTCTGATAAACCAATTTCCGACATCTTTTTTTTTTTATGTTGTTATGGTTATATATTATGTTCCTCTTTGTAAAATTAGGCAATTCTATGCTAAAAATAAAGCTAAAAATCATTCACATTTACTAGAAACATCACTGTTGTGCAAAATCTCAAGGTCCCACAAACATCACAAACCAATGCAAGACCAGTTTGCAAAATTTACAAATGAATGTGCTAGTATTTTTTTTATTGAAAGAAGTATGTTGTTTTACTTTGAATCATAAATAATTTTCTATGTTTACTCAATCTTCTTACCTTTATAAATTTATTGGCAAAATGTATTTTAAAGCGAAAACAAAAAGCTGAAAATGTTAAATAGTCAGACAAAGACACCAGGAGTTGCATTCACTTTTTCCTGCTGACATTTTAGCACTAACTCCTCCCACTTTCTG